ATGACGTTACACTGTCTGAATCACCAACTGTATTGAAGGACATGGTCGATCCACGATTCCTACCACCGAGGACAAGGTCATCCAGACTAACCTTTGCTGCTATCAAATGTCAGAACTAAACAGGCTTGTCTTTCTTCCATAAAATACTCAGATCTGATAAGTTCAAACGCAGAACCAGTTCAGAGAGCCTACGTGTGTCGAATATTGCATCATAATGGACAGTCTTATTGGACGGTCAATGGACTTTGGCCTGAGAAGTCCACTGAGCGTACGCGCAGTCTGCAACAGTTTTCAACGACCCCGCGCTGATGGGCAGATTTAATGTTATACATAGGCATTTATTGACATATGAAGTGTGCACAAATTTGCAACGGCCGTTGATGGGACCGACCAAAAACGGTCGGTCTATGCGGATGCGAGCCGTAGTGTGTATTAACCCTGAGCTTACCATGAACTTGGATGTCTCAGCATAACATCAACGAGCGTTGTTTAAGTAGGGAAACTTATGTGTTTGCTGAAACCGTTCACTCCGGTTGCTCTTATCAGAAAGAGGGAATTTGCCTCTATAAGGGTCATAAAAGTGGTCGTAATAAAGGGACACGTCAATATCAGATGCCCTACAGCATGATTTTTTGGTTGATCTGCGATTAAAGAACCTGGAATATGTTGCCTTGTTTCATCATGTGCGTCCGAGACGTTAAATACCGGATTCATGCAAGTGGTAAAGTCCATTTATACAGAACGAGCGTCCGCGACAATACACCATCGCATAAAAAGCTGTCCATAATTATTACATTTAGACGCTGGCATTCAAATTGACCAACATTGCTGCAAGAAGTGGCCAAAGAGAAGGGAGATGAGATGAAATCCTCATTTTATTCAATTGCCACAAAAACCACAGGGCTATCACAGACAACGCCCGGTATTGGAAGTTTTAACTACTAGCTGGCTCAATCAGGTGAAAAACACTTAGAACCGATTGCGTAGTCATCGTTTCCGTAAAAGTGTGGTAACAATCGGTAGGTTTATTGTTGGTCGATGTTTGGCTTTCGGCATCCCAAAGTTCACAGAATTCCGCTTCCTTACAAAATTATCGTTGCACTAGCTCATTCACAGGGACGGATGGAAAGTGCAAACGACGTTGAAGAGGGATGATTACGAACCACAAGGACTAGACCCCAAACTGGACCCAAATCCATGTAAGTTTCCCCGGCAACCTCACTCCTAGTCACCCACCCCAACACACAAATTCACTCGTCCGACACCTAACAGATTTAGCTTGACTTAGATGATTCGTTCTCATTCCGTCTTAAACCTCTACCAGTCTCGTACCTTAGTCACTCGGCCTGACGAATCTTTTGTGTCAAAAGCGAAACGTTGCCCAGCAATAAATCTACCGATCGCTATCAAACTTTTTGAAAAACAATACTAGCTGGTTCATTTGAAATCCGCCTCCGTTGATTGTGTTTTTTGTGGTGTCTTTTAGGAGAAAGTTAACCCATAAATGAGTCATTCTGCGCTGGTTTGGAATCAGTACATGAAGACAACAAGGAAAAACACATCACTCTTTACAGGATGAGAATGTTGGAACTAATAACCAAAAACGAAATGGCGAGATCATTTGGACACTGCGTTAGTCTACTCCCGTGCACTTGCAAAAGCGTGATGCAAGAAGCGTTGGAGCCTTTCTGTAGGTTACTCTGCGTTCACTACTGAATAAGGCTACCACCTTCATCAGAACAGACAGGCTACGACGCACGCACTGTATGGGACTTTTTGTCCGTTTTCTGGAGATACAAGTCACTTTATGGTGAGTAACCTCGCATCATAATACAAGGGTGCGCAATCAATAGAAATATCTGGTTGCTTCGATCCTAACTTTTGAAGAAACAACGCCTAGAATAAGAGTGTGCAATTTCGGTCACTCTGAAAAACGAATCGATTTCCTATCGTAATATATTTTTCTCCAGCTTAATAAAAACCGGAAGGGGATACTTTGGCTGATAATTTATTCAGAAACTACCAGGAAGACCAAATTTTCCATCAGTAATTCGCGCAAAATTAATCAGACCGAAGTAATCAGTATGAACCACGAAGAAAAGTATTTCATATTTTATAAAACTACTGGTTGGGAACAAATCCAAAACAAAATGCACTCTTGTTGACGGTGCGTTGCTATGTTTGCATTCCGGACGCCATACAACAATGCAATCTTCTATATTGAATTAACTTATTCGTAGACAATACGAGGTTTTGCTGTTTTCGTGAAACGGAAGTGCATTAGTGTGTAGTACAGAAATTCGGATGCGCCAACGGTCGAACCAACGGTAAATCAATACATGAAAGTAAGCTAAAATATGCAGTTTTGCGCATACGAAACACCACGTGAACGGTACGATTGAAGCACGCGCATGCCGGCCGGTCACAATCCACTGGACCGTAACTGCTGTCAGCTGTTATGTGCAGGCTAGAATTTAGGTCAACAAAACACATTGGCCTTGTTTAGGCATGTAGCTGTGATAATGCGCTACGTCAAAATCCGAGTTAGATTACGCCATTGAGCAAGTCCTAACTATTCGAAATGTTACATTGGCTCTACAGCACGCAACCACCCATTGTGGCAAACCCTCCACTCGGTGAAAATCGCTTTGAACTTACCGGATAACACCTGAGTAAACAAAAAACTCCTAGAATGCAAAGTGAACTGCCATATTAGAAGCATTCGCCCCAAATTAAGATGCTTTTAGATCAGTGACCCAGGTAAATATATTTGAATCCAATTAGGTGGAAGGGAGACACCAACCTCATTTTAAACTGATCTGTTTACACCGACCTGACAGGAAAAAATCAATTAGGCAAGTTCACTTTGCTTGGTTTATTACCGGTTATTGTTTCATAGAGCCAGTAAAATCACAGGGGGTCGTTCGTTTATTATTTTTTTGTATGACAGTTAACAAGCGTGCAATGAGCACATCCCCTGAATCGTGTGACGTGTGTTGGCTGCCTTGGATGAATGGGCTGAGTGTGAACCTCGATTCGTTTTCCCGAAATTATATCAGCCCATATTTGCCCGTAGTATGTGCGTCCATACTTCAGACAACCGATCGACCGCATGTGTGGGCTGAGTGCCAATTTGTCATTTTGATACAATTTTCCCAGGGTATGCTCTTTGCGTATTTAAGGAGACATTTTTCCCACAAAACATTCGGTTAGATGTATAGGCTTGAGGCGTTGTTTTAGTTAGGAAAAGAGTGTACTCGTTGGTCACCTCTAGTGCTACACTCCTGGGGTAATAAATCGGCTCATTTAACAGAATTTCGACCTATGGAAAGAAAGTTTGGGCAACTCGACTACAAAAGGTTACCGTGGATTGTTAATGAGAGTGCACGATCATTCGCTCGTCACGGAAAAGTATTTTTGGAGGCGAATCCATTCTGGTTTTCTGAAACAACCTAAAGATCCAAAAAAATGCAATGCTTGTTCAGGAGAACAGGTAGTTCCAATCAGCTCATCATGTGTTCTGGTACGGAACGTCCATGATATCGACCGTCCGAGACGGTGAGAATAATTCTGCCCACAAATGGATTTCCGGAGTGTCCATTTCCAGGATATTCTGTCGGTTATAGACAATCTCGCCTGTCCACTTAAACAAGAGTCACTTACTTGTTGGCAACCGATCGTCGAAAAGTGGATTCAACTGAAGGTCGCTGTAAAACCAATCTCGCTTGCGTTTCGCTATAACAGCAGTATCCAGAAAAATAGACTGATCAACCATTACCTCCCGGACCTGAGTCCAACCCCGAATGTGTTTACTCATGCTGCATGCACCAAATCCCTGCTGGTTTAGGAAATAGTCTGGAAAACCTTTGTCTAACTCCGAGTAGCAAAGAGGCCATAAATACCACCGCGCCAAAAAATTTGGTATAAATTCGAGTATTACACATAACTGATGGGACACAAGTTAGCTGAAATTGGTACTGTATTTTCAGTGAATTGCGACCAAACTCAAGACACTACAGTACTCATCCAAAGCGCAGACATCGTGTGAAATGGTGCATTCTGGCCTCTCTTGGGTGGTGCCTCCTTTTTCAGAGGACTTGAAACTAATCCGCAGCCGACGGGGGTGTTGTTGTGCCCTCGAAGGAGGTGGTGGCCTGTGTTCGCAGAGGCTTCTCCCAGGATGATTAGACTTTCGGCATCTTCGAAACCGATAGCGATAACAGTAAATGGACAAGTCAAAATGCGAGGTATTTCTGCAAATTCACGTTGGAATAAGCTAAACACGAATTCAAAACAGTTTGAGAGCCAAAGCTTGAGAATCTCCGAAATCAATCGGTGGGTAGTTTTTAATCACATTTTTTTTACAAAAAGTGTACACAAACGGTAATACCATTCCCCTTTATAATTCACTGTTAAGGATACAGAAATAGTCTGTCGTTTTTAAGATTAGGTTTTGTGGGAAAGATATTACAACCAAACGATTAACACTGCCCGTTTCACAGGTATATCACCTAAAGACAGAGATTGCACTCTTGGGGGAGAACAGTATCGATACATTGAAAAACGCAATAGTACATCTAACAACATTGTTTGAGGTTTCTGAAGCATGTGGGGATACGCTAGAAGTAAAAGAGTATTTACAACTCAGGGGTGGTACAGAACAATAAAAACAAATGGCAAACAGATAGATCAAAGCAAATCCGGCCCGAAAGCGTCCCCAAACCATATAATTCTTTCACGCGCATGTATCGATTTTCCCGGAAGAACATTGACTGCCATCTTTTGAAAACTGGAATGCGAGCTTCGTCAGTTTATCTGACAACAGAATCAAAATACTTACTTCAGTGCGACAGGGAAAGAAAAGTGGAACGCCGTGTTCGGCTTTCGCAGTAACAGGACAAGGCAAACCAGGTTCCTTTATCCCAAACTAGTATGCGATTCCCCACAACAGTTACTTGATATATCGGTGTACATTTAGAAATTCAATGTTTAGCATGTCAAGCACAGTCTTGTACTCCATTTAACCATTCCCAGACCCGCATTTTCAAACTATGCAGGGCTTCTTCAAATTCAGATTCAGTTTCTGTCCTACTTTGAATGTGGAAGTCACCAAATCGCTTCAATTTTCCCTGAGTGAGTAGGCCTGGCATAGAAGGGAGTTCCACCAGCCTATCTGTACGAGTGTGTGGAAGAACGGCAGCATCGGATATTTGCTCTCGCGGTAGAGATAAAGGCCTTTGAGAATTATGGTGGTGGAAATAATGGTAATGGTGGTGATGGTGTGGATATAAATCCCGAAAGTGAGATGCACCGAAGTCCGGCGGAGTGTTGATATGCGCGTCACTACTACTGGGAGGTAGTTCACTGCAAAGTCTTGATTGGGCCAACTTTTGGTTTTCTGTGGCCGAAAATGCAGCACTATATCCATAGGGTGGACTACATGGTTGTTGGCGGAGATGCAAATGGAGACAGTGTTTATGATGAGCGTAAGTGGTTTCTCGATGATGCATGATATACTCATTTTCACAGTGAACGGAAGCTAACTTGTGATTCTGTCCATTTGAGGTGGTTGACTGCATGCAGCTGTCCGTCAGCCAAGATATCAAATTGGGTTCGGTATCGGTTTCATCCGAAGTAGTTTGCGTCGTGTTGGACTTGGACTCTGTGCAACACATGACCTGCGCTCTTGTACAACAGTCAGTCTTTACATCTTCTGCGTTCGGCTGTCTCCATGGCAGGACTGAGTGCACAGTTTGAGCTGACTCAGTAGTGTCATTACGAAGTTCCAAATCACCATTGTTTGACGCAAGTGCCAGGGATGTATCGATCCGACCATTCGCTTGTTCAGACTCAGCAGATACCGCCTGCATGTGTCGCATGCCGTCCCGGATATTGGATACCACCACCCTTCTGACCTGTGGAAAAATCCACCTTGTAATTTCACAACTTCCCACTTGTCATTGGGACACCATGCAACTTGGCCACAGCAACCGCCCAAATCCGAAATGCAGAGAACTACGCAAACATATGAAACATTACGTCAGAGCCCGTTCTATATTCCACAGGACGCATGGCCTTGTGTGAGGACGCAGACCACACAATGGTTTGTCGGCGTAGTAGAGCCTATCAGAACAGGCGGTAGTTGAGTGCTGATTGGCCAATGAATGCAGATAAGAGAAATTAACCTATCGGCTTCAAATAGCGATTTATTGATCACAGTGGCTGCCGAACCAGCTGAAGCGACAGCCAGGAAGGCAACGTGCAAAAGGCCGGTGTCCGTTTGGGCCTCGTTCCGCATTTCCCGTTAGGGTTTACTCACCGGTACCTGGTGGATTTTTCTGCATCGTTCCATTAAAAGCAAAAGATACGTTGCTCAAATGAACTGGTGCTTGATCACATAGAAATGAAGCGGTAATAGTAACGGAGTGATAGGGTAGATTACAAACTAGCCTTCCTACTGCTATTTAAGGGGAAAACATAGAGGAATCGTTGAAGTTCATCTGCACATGTGGATAAAAGTTAATTTTGAACATGTGCATCGCCTCCAAGCCTCAAAATCAATAGAATGACGAATGAAATAGTATTTAAAGCCCATGCATGCAGTAAGTGGTCGAGATACCTTCCTGAACGAAATAACTGAGATGCTCAGGTCAAACTATGATGAACGACGTTGGTCATCCATTGGAGGCAGTTTTCGTTCATGTGAAACGTCTTTTTCAGTGTACGTTTATGAAACAGCAAATACACAGAGACTAGAAACCGACGTGTAGGCAACCAAAGATGACTGTGCTCATGGAGTTAAAGTGGTAGTCCATAATTTGTCCGCTTGGCCACCCGGTACTCGTGGGACAAGTGACAAACGTTGTAATCACTATGACGACTGCGGTCAAATTTACCAGTGCGTTCAAGAATCGAGTACTCGGAATGTTGCACACTGTTGCACATGATCAACTCTTTGAACCCCTTGAAGAAAGTGTGTTCAGAGAATTCGCATCAGTTTACGGGAGTGTTTAGCGGATGATCTTCGACTTTTCGAAGGTCACCCGTACTCTCCTGAATTCATTTCATTTCCCCTGAAGTAATTTTTGAAGCAGGCATTCATGATGTGACACACTTCTGAAAACTCTCCGATATGTCGCTACTGGTTTCACCGTTCTTTGGACTCATCGGGGTAGTGTACTCCACCACATGGGGTTTTTTTTAGCATTAAACTGCACACAAATTACATCGCTGTTAGGGTAAGACCTACAACCGGTTTCCCCGATTTTGAGACTGGTGATGAAAGGGAAGATAAACTCTGGGAAGGTTCTTATCTGATGAGCGTCAATGAAGGCAGAACTGGTAGTAGACTGTCGAAGAGTTTTCAGCAAACTGTTGATTATTTTCATTGGTGGTTCATGTAACAATGGGATTCTTAAGATGACCCAACTGAGTAACTTATGATCTGAAGATAAATGCAGTGGGCAACGCCGGGTTCCGGGCGGTTGACTGACAACTTGGTGATTGTTCTTTGGTTCCGCGTAGTAAATAATGGGTAACACGGTTGCATTTTCTGTCGTCACAGGTGTCACCATAAGGTAAGAAGGTACGCTTCTTCACGAATAATCATCTCCCTAGCTGACTATCTACCGAATTATCAGTTATTTGTCAATCTAGTACATTTGTTGCTTGTAGGTTTTTAATAATGGAACACTCTCCCTCCAACGGCTTCTCCAGTGGTGACCCTCCTTCTAATGCGACCGTGTGGCTGTGCAGGTAATTCACATACTTTAAGACATCCGTCCCTCCGTATAACAAATATCTCCTTAATAAGCACAGACTAGTCTGTATGCATAGCATTCAAAACACAACCCCTCCCCCCGCCCAAAAAGGCCTATGACTATGCTGGTTCTCACCGTACTATATTTGTAGTGGTGATTGGATGAACAAAGAATAGCTTGTAAAACTAGGTTAAATCCAGTCTGGAAAACGTAGTAAAAAACGGCCCGGCATATGCTCTTCTCTCCTTATGCGGTACTCATCTGTTAGAATTTCAAGTAGAGAGCTTTGAATGTATCTAAATTAGTCAGCGTATGGGCACCAGAATTACTTAATTATCGTGCCGTTGATAGTCAGTGTACGTACACTTGACCTTGAGCAGATAAGCACACTGTGGAGAGGGAATCGGTACCCATACACAAGATTTATTCATGGCTGAATCATCACGGCAAACACATACTACTGATTTCTTGAATCCTTGAATTGGTTTTTGATGAATCAGCCGGCCTACGACTCTTTTCAACCGGACTTGCTACAATGTGTGGGTTTAAACCTGCGAATTCACACCGGTGACGGGAATGGACAATATGTCATTCCAATGTGGTAATCTGACGTCACCAAGGGGAAAAAACACATACGAGTCACATACTTCGTAGTGTTAAACTTGTTACCATGACGTTCGTGTAAACTAACAGCAATCGGCCAATTCGGCTGCTTCCGTTTATCAGTCGAAGAGATTAGGTGTTGCGTGTTTAATTTCAATGTTTATTGGGTAAAATGTGCTTCAGCCATGACGTTCGTGTAAACTAACAGCAATCGACCAATTCGGCTGCTTCCGTTGATCAGTCGAAGAGATTAGGTATTGCGTGTCTAATTTCAATGTTTATTGGGTAAAATGTACTTCAGTCGTAATTTAAAATAGATTAACTCAACAGTGGTTTTAGCCACACAATTTTATTTTACTTGCTGGCTGTCATTTTGTTTTCAGAATGTCCCACTGGACAGAGTAGTACGGGCAGTGCGCCCAAGCTACCTAGATTCCACAACACCACCAACATCATGGCATATCTTAGACACTGCAACTGACATTCTACTGTCACGTTGTTCAATAGCTGAAGATTTTGCTAGCCACAGGCGCACTTTCGGCCAGTTAGTTAATCAGTGAGCTGTTCAAATTCAACATACTCTCGCTGACTGGCTGCCATGCCACGTGAGGGGAGAACGAAATATGAGATGCAGTGTTGAGGTTGGGTTCGAGCCACGGACCTCCTGACAACAGAATTATCTCGTGTGTGACTTAGTCTGCTTCATCACACTGCCCGGTGCAACTGACTCCGATATCATTGACGCTGAAGGTGAACCATCAACATGTGAGCTTCTGGCCATGGAGGCTGTCAACAACGTGAAAGCCAAAGGGGAAATTGGAAGCTACGCCGTGGAATATGATACGCAAATAGAGAGGGAAGAAGGGAAGTGGAAGAAAGCTACCTCAGTTACCGGGAGAGAATTCGTTCTGTAAAGAAATAGGCTTTGACCTACTGAGCGATGTCATCGATATCCTAGCGGAGATTTTAGATAAAGCTGCCATTGGTGGAGTGAAAGACTGTTTACTAGTCAACAAAGTCGCAAGCCTTCTGAAACACGTTTCTGATACAGAGATTTCAGGATAGCAACAAGTGAACTCAGAAACGAAAGAATGATATTCCTGATATGGTAAGGAGCGCCATGTCTTCAGTCATCTGCGACCAAACTCAGTCAATCAATCCAAACCACTTCCAAGTCAAACAAAACCAACCTGTCAGTTTCCTTTATAAAGACTACAGACTTTGTTTCTTGTTTTCTGGTGCTTCCAAAGACAAGTATCGATCCCTTAAGGAACTCTGACCTAGAATTAAAAGTCATCATTCTTTTTCCGCTACTACGTCAAGGTGAAATCAACTAAACTAACAAGCCGGTCATCCTGATGGGACCTGTTCATTAGCACTTGTTTAGGAATCAACACCCGAGTCCACTGAAGCAGAGTGGCAGTATCACTGCTCTCCAAAGTCTGTTTACATATCCAAAAGAAAGCTTTGCTTGTTAAGTTATCCGAACACGCTGGTTAGGTCCTAGTCCGCTACAGTAGAATTCAGTGGATAAGTGGATTAGGTCGTCCAATTACCTGATAATTAGTAAACTTTTCTGTAAGAGAATAAACTGCTATGGAATGAGCATGACGTTATAATCAACCATACTGTGATTATTGCCTAGGTAGAACTGCAAACATCACAAACGAGAGATTCAGCTGGGTTCAAGGTGAGTCTCTCGGACAACCTAATTTGTTTGCGAATGAGTGTATTTCGCTAGACCAGAATTTATTTTCTGTTTATATTTACTCAGTAAGCGCTAATTATAAATTGTAAAATTTGACGAGATGGTGAATGCCGGAAACTCAATAGTTAAATCTGTTTGCAACAAACACCCATTTGCATGTCAGTTCGGTCTTGACAGGAGGGTATCCAAAGTAGCGTTCCATTCAGAAAGTGTACTGCGACATCTGGAATATGGAACCAACGGAGGTATGAGGTAGCCGTTACGCGGTACACCGAAACAACAAATCCGAAAACAAAAGATTCACCAAGTCTCCCGGTAAAGCCAAACGGGTGGGTTTTCTCAGACTTCAATTCAGAAAGTGTACTGCGACATCTGGAATGTGGAACCAACGGAGGTATGAGGTAGCCATTACGCAGTACACCGAAACAACCAATCCGAGAGCAAAAGATTCACCAAGTCTCCCGTTAAAGCCAAACGGGTGGGTTTTCCCAGACTCCGTACAATCTGGGTTGATGTAGATCACAAGGTTGTCTGGAACTAGGGGCAGCTTTAAGAAGGGCTGTAGAAGAGGTTTCAGAAACCTTATAAGTAGTGATCCTTTAGGTTATGTTTGCTGTTCTGGCTACGCAAGTTTCTCTGTCAGAAACGAAAACAAGCTATACGACCCCCGTTGAGTAACTATGCATGAACTATGAATCGCGTGCCTTGCTTATGCTCACCAACGTTAAATTATTGCACACTGTCCCCTTGTAAAGAAATATGGTGAGTGGGGGGCCTCTTTTGCTTCCGACATACTACATGCCACTAT